TTACCTTACCTTACCTTACCTTACCTTACCTTACCTTACCTTACCTTACCTTACCTTACCCTACCTACCTACCTACCTACCTACCTACCTACCTACCTACCTCCTACCTCCCTGCATGCAGACAGACATGTGGTAGCTGGAGTCCTCCTCCCCTCCTCGCCTCGTCCTCATCTTGGCAGGCAATTGAAAGCGAAGGAGGCAAATCGCAGCACCTGGGGCTTGGGGCTTGGGCTTCGGGTTGAAGGCTTGTGTGTTTGGAGTTTGAGGTTGATGACTTCGGGCTTTCGGGCTCAGGGCTCCGGGGCTATAAAGAGTCTGTATTCACAAGCAGCAGAAGTGCCGTCAAAGGCAATGCCGTGTAATCTATGCTGCATGAAAAGGGCCTTCGCACTGAGCTGCAGCGTAGTCGACGTGTTCCCCTCCCGAAGTCCGTGCTGAGACCCCGAAGCTCGAAACCCTCTTTTCAAATTCTGTGCTTGAATTTGAAAGTCTGGTGTGCAGGAGTGCTGAAGCAGTGTCTGCCGGATTGGCACCTCCGGCACAAGCCGCATGTGGGGCGCTTTCGCAAGTTTTTCGGCAGCCTCAACAGTTATCATGCCTGCGAGGCTCAGAGGGTGGTTTGGGGTTTGGGGTTTAGGGATTAAGGTTTAGGCCCTAAAGTTTATAGGCTTTAGGGGTGCTGATGGTGGTGAAAATGGTGTTGGTTGTATCAGCAGCAGGGGAAGCAGCACCAGGAGAACCGTTGGCAGGAACAGAACACCAGTCAGCACGAGAAGCCTTGTCGTTGCATTCATTGTCGTGGTCGTCGCTGCCGCCACCCGAACCATCGCTGACATGCTTCCTGCAGTTCGCGCACCTTTAGAAGCTTCTTCAGTGCCATATCCATGCCTCAGACACAGGAACAGCCGTCGTAATGTCGCCACGTTAACGGCACTGGTTACAGTCACTGGTTGCTTGCAGCATATCTCTTGGAGCGCAGCGGCATGACAGATCCTGTGAGAAGCCCAAAAAGGTCAAACAGTGGCTAGCGCACGGGCTGCAAAGCTTCCGACATCCACAGTTCTTGGATCTTTGTTGTAAGAGGAGCTGTGTGAGTCCACTCGATGAGCCCGCGGCGTCTCAGGTTTCTTCATGCTCACCTGCAGATTTTCACGGTCACGGACACTCCAGGAGATTGCTTCCTGGCAACTTGCCTTCTCTTAACTTATAATATAGGAGGGGTCCTTGTTATGATGATAGTATAGTATACCCCAGGCTCCTTACTATGATTATAGTATAACATACCCCAAAAAAATCCCTATTCTAACGACTAAGGCCCCTATATACCCCAAATAAAGCCTTATTCTAATTACTAAGGCCCCTATATACCCCAAATAAAGCCCTATTCTAATTACTAAGGCCCCTGCATTCTCCGGGGGTTCATGCTTCCATGAGCTCCCTGCTGCCGCAAGGTTTGTAAGGTGTACAGCCGCAAGATGTCATATCTGATGTAATTTAGGGGCCTAAAGAATTATATACCTATACTATTTTGGGGGGTTCCTTATTACAAGGTTCCTTATTGCAATTATAGTATAATGGGCCCCAAAACCCTATTCGGATTATTAAGGCCCCTATATTATTGTCAGTTCTGATGGAGCTCCGGCCCCCAACAAGCTGAATTGACTTGAATGCCTGGATTTGGTGTTGTAGAGATCGGAATTCGAAGTGATGATATCCCTTTATAGTCTTTCTTGTAATTATACAACAAGATACCCCATAACCCCTTTGCGGCCAAGCGTTGAGAGCTTCTAGACCTGAGCCCAACTCCACCCGACAGCCCCAGATTACTGCAAAATCCACAAAAGTCCAAGACCCCTAAACCCTAAACCCTAGACCCTAAACCCTAAACCCTAGACCCTATAAGCCCTGAACCCCAGCCCCCCAACTTCCAAGCCCTGAACCCCCAAAATCCCCGAACCCGGCACGCCCTGAACGACAAGGTCTCCCGAAGAGGTGAGCCGGCACCACCACCAGTCGATCCAAGGTCCTGGGGTTGAGGGTGTAATATAGGGGCCTTAATAATTTCAATGGTGTTTTGAGGCGCTTTATACTATACGAATATAAGGAGCAACATAATTTGCTAAACGACAGCACTGAACAGTAGTAGTTGCCTCGATCATATGTTACTAAAACGATGAAGAACATCCGACGAAATGTTCTATGGTTCTATACCAGGGCCCTGTTTTCTGAACTTGCCATGTGGATTCAGGGTGTTGCTAGGATTGTGGCGATGGAGATTAAAGGCGACGAGTCTTCTTGCCCGTGCGATGAACATCGTGGGAGCCACCGTATCCATTAATCCATAGACCTTATATAGAAGCCTCAGTAATTCGTTGGGGTTCATTTTTATTTCTGTAGCACAATTTAATGTAAAGCGTGTTCTAATGATCAAGGCCCCTATGTTGTTCGATCATACAGTGGGCTGTGCTTCGGATAGGATTCAAGCCGTGTGCTCAAGTGGTATCTGCCTTCTTTTTCGATATGGCAGATCATGTCAGTGATGTTTTTTTCGGGGTCCGTATGCGATCGCATCCGAGACTAACAGCCAATGAGTTCGTCGCAGTATCAGTACCCATAGTCTCCATTATAGTTCCTTTTTCCGGTTAACCAAATTGATATTATTGGATCCTAACCATAAAATTGGTTAACCAACAAAGGAACCAGAATGGAGACTATAGGTATGACCACAGCTACCCGACATGGTAAGCCCGGCGCAGGTCGTGGCAGCGGAGGCTGAAACGGGCCTGGCGCAGGCAGGGTCTGGCGACCGACGCTTCAGCATCGGGTTTGGGGGCTGATACTAGTATGGCTTTAGAAACCCTAAACCCCTAAACCCTAAACCCTATAAACCCTAAACCCCTAAACCCTACACCCGAGTTGTGACTTTTCAGCCTCCGACTGTTGCGGACGGCAAGGTCGCGCAGTCTCTGCCTTCCTTCGACCCGAAAAGCCCCGAAAGCCTGCGTTCAACCCGCTCAGCCGCTAAACCCACCCCACAAACCGTTTGAGATAGGTACTGCCAAGAGATTCCAGAGTCGGAGCAGAGCCTCATGGATTTCCTTGGCCGGGGCCCCCAGGGGTTTGAAGAATCTGCCAGGGGTTTAGGGTTTACGGTTTAGGTTTAGGGTTTAAGGTTTAGGTTTAGGGTTTAGGGTTGAGGGTTTAGGGTTTAGGGGGCCACAGTTGGATTGAAAGGGCACCTGCAGGGGGATTCTGGAAGGGTGAGGGTTGCTAGATGGGTTCTTACCCGTACTTCTGCCCCATGGTAGGAAGAGCTGGGTAGGCTCACAGAAATTTGTAAAACATAGAAGCCTGACCCATTAAAATAAACCCAGCCTCCAGACCATTCGCTAATCCCCAGAAGAGGCATCGTCCCGAACTCTCGGGTTAAATATTGTTCTGGAAGTCGCAATCCTGTTGCAGACAGTGTAGGATTTGTCCTTGATCATGAGGAATAGTTGCTAGGGTTGGCTCGTCGATTAAAAGTTGGGGGTCGCGGTTCCGAACAGCACTGCCACGATTTGCCTCAAATCTGCTGGCATGGCACAGCTTACAGCTATTACACGACAGACAATACATTGCCATTGCTAATCCTTTGTCAGCCATGGAACTGAGACACCAGCATTTCGCATGCATACGCACTGTGGACAAGTCGCCATAAAATTCGAGCCAACTGAACAGGTATGTGGCGTTTCTCGCTGGGGTCAACAACAAAGCCTGGCATGTACATCGTATGAGAATGTTGCTGGTCTCTCCTCCACGTGCAACGATCGGAAAGTAGAGGTCCTTCTATGCCAAGTTCGTAGCTCCCAGCACACTCTTTCTGTGTTGTGTTGGTGAATAGATGTTGGGGCTGGCTTTAGTTTGGGGCTGGCTTTGGGGGGTGAAAATTCAGAAACCCTAAACCCTAAACCCTAAAGCGGGTGTGTGGTGAGCAGGTGGTGGCAGAAACTGAGAGATGCCCAACACTGCACTCTAAAGCCTCCCCAGCTACACGCTTTCTACATACCAAGCCCCAAACCCCCTAAACCCCCTAAACCCCTAAACCCTATACATACCAAGCCCAAACCCCCTAAACCCCCTAAGCCCTATACATACCAACCCCGAACCCCCCAAACCCCTAAACCCCGAACCTAAACCCTATATACCCCCCCAAACCCCCTAAACCCCAAACCTGAACCCCAACTTATTTGCCATCCAGGCCCGCTCCAGGTCGAAGCGGACCACTCCTCACATTCCAACCTGCAGATGCCGGGCGCAGAGAAGGATTCTTGGATACAAGAGAGGTTTTATAGAGATCAGGCTTTTAAGTGTGGGGGGTTTTGGGGGTTTTGGGGTCAGGGTTTTGGCCGGGTTCTGGGTTTGGAACCCTTGGGCCGTTTTGGCACCTCCGGTGTTTGCGTTGCAAGCTGCTTCGACGTGCTGTGCTTCAGGACATCAAATTTCGACCCTCGAGTTTGCAAGGTTTCACCCCACAGCCTAAACTCGAAAGCCCTGAAACCTGAACCCGAAACCCTAAACCCGAAACCCCAAACCACAATCTCTGATAATCTCTAGAGAGCTCGACTAGCTGCTTCGAAATCTTTAGCCGCGGCCGAGGTCGATCGGCCCTCAAAGCTTGACGTATCGAAACTTTGAAACTTCGAGGTTTCGATGTTGAAACGTTCGAATGTTGAAGTTTGAGAAGACGAAAGTTTTATAATATAGGGGCCTTAATAATTAGAATAGGGTTTGGTGTCTTTCTTTCGGAAGGCCTTGTGTCCAGTCGAACGCGCCTAAAGCAACTCGAATTCAGGGAGTGAAACGAACTGTCAACGCTGCAGGAGCAGCTTGACAGACTGTGCGCAGCCATGGTGCCAGCGAGCCGCCGTCTATTCCAGCAGCACTAGCATCCAAATGACAGCGACGGCCCTTGTGAGACAGGTGGAGGATAGTGGCAATCCAGCCGAGGCAATGGTCAAGCCACACCAAGTGGCGGCGCAAGGAACGCAACGGACAGGACGGCACAGACCACAAGTCCAAGGCCACAAGGGGAGGTCGAGGCAGCCGGACAAAGGCACCGGCAAAGTCCATGGCAGCCGCAGGCGGACAGGCGAACGGGGGCGAGCGCCA